TGAAGTCTTACTCCAGGACTTTCCAGGCAAACAAACCCCATAAATTTTCTCTGTTTTTCTTCAGATAGTTTGAGTTGGTTTTCTGTGCTTTACAGCTGAAAAAAAGCAGAGCATTGGTAGCAGGACTAGGCCGTTGCTAGAGGCAGACTCCACAGTGAGGATTTGGTGGAGTCTAAGTGTGCCACAGGATGGAGAGGACCCCCATCCCAAGGGCAGCCAAGTTGACAATCTGTGTTACATTGTTCTGAAACACACGGCTAAAGGGTCACGTGTTGTTTCTTTGAACTCAGACCAGGTGCCTGCTGAGACTGAAGCTTTAGAGCAGTTGTCAGAATTTCAGGATGTTGTCTGCTTTTTGCATGTCTTTCAAGAAAAGAAAAAGCTTCAGTGTAAATTGGTCCCTGTGAAAGCAGGAAGGAAATAACGTGTAACTTTGTTAAGAGATGCCTTCCCCCATTTGGATGCGAGCAGTAGTCTGAGACTGCTGTGGTGCAGACAGTCACGCCCCTCATGGAACTCAGAAGCCTGTATCCCTGCCTCAACCTGAAGTTCCTGTTGGCAGAGGTTGGGCGGTGGCAGACACAGTAGGGGATATGACTGGGACTCAGGAAGAATCGGAGAAATCCTGGAGCCTCATCCTTTAAACCTCTCCCCGAACTGTCCTGCTGAGCGCTTGCTGGTAGTGAAGGGAACAATTCTTTCCCTAGTAAACAGTCACCCAGTGGGTTCCGCCTGGGCACAGCCCTGATTAGTTCTGCCCTACACCTCGGCCTGAGTCATTTAGGAGTCCGTTTGGCTGAGGGTTAAGACCTGCTGCTAAGGGACAGGTGTGCAAAAGCAGCTCGTCTATAACCAAGGACATGTCAAGACAAGATTTCTGGTTTTCACTGACGGAAGAAGGCTCAACCAGTAGATGACTAGGGTTTTAAAAGTACTGAATTGCCAGAGAAATGACAACCCAGGGGAGCTTGGGATCACTAGGTTTCTAAGGCAATCCCCAGGCGCTTGTAAAAACACCAAACATAAGAGGGATGCTAAAGGACAGGACCTTCAGAAGGATTTTTGCTCTGCATTCATTTTAGGCACAGCCTTGAAGAATAATGACTTTGGGTGATTTGTGCACAGAGCAAAGCCTGGGGCAGTCAGATTGGTTCCACTGTCAAGATGTCAATCCTTGCTACTTTATTCTGCAGGGTATGGTACATGTTGTGGTGTATGTCATTTCATCCTTTCTGAATGGAGTTTTAATTGATGATATCCTGTTTTCCCTCCTCGACTGTGTAACAGAAGTGTAGGAGATCATTACATCGACCATTTAAACTGCAGGTTGTTGGATCACGAGGAACCATATCTGGAAGTCAGAGATGTGTGCATCACCCAGAGATCCTGGACATGAAGATGGGTTGGTAACTGGATGTGATTCTGGATTGTCTCTCTTTGGAGTCAGTGTGATTTCAGTTATACCTTAGTTGGACAAACATTAGGTGGAGGCTCTTCTGAGATTATATGTGCAGAAATGTGTGTGAGTATGTGTTAAGCAGGCATGGGAGAAACGTCATTGATATCTGCTCTTATTGTCTGTCCACTCTTTTTTCTGTGAAGGAACTGCTTCTCTCTTCTATCCCCTCTCCTTAGGTTCTTGTGAGATTCTTAATCACAGGATATTCCCTGGCTGCAGGAGCCATGAATGACCCAGGCCTAACCAATAGTGGACCAATCCCTCATTCATGTGACTGGACATGATCTGAGTACAAGCAACTGAGGTATTTTCATGATGTCATAAATCTCATGGATGCAGGGAGTCTGTCTTCCATTTGAATCATGAGCTAAAACAATATGGGCATGGAATTGTTTCCTTGGCCATGTTTCCCAGCATAGGGAAAGCTTGTACTTAGAACGGGAGAGAATGAAGCCAGTATTGAAAGAAATGCAGAAAGAAGATGAAGCAAGAGATGATAGGGTTGATGGTGGGAAGGAAGAGAGAGAGGGAGAATGACATAATTTGAGCCCCTGGCTCCAGCTGTTATGATAACTGCCTCAAGCTATCTTGGAAGTTCTGTGAGCCAATATATTCATTTATTTCTTATGCTAGTTTGAAGTGGGTTTGCTCTCAGTTGCAACTAAAAAAAGTCCTAAAAGGTGACATAAAATCTCAAATTACAACTTTTGCCCCTCAAAATTCTGTACACTCTGCTTAATTCTTTTCCAACATCTAATAATACGAAGGAGAAGTCTGAGATCAGTCTGACTTTCCCCCTTTATTATGCAACTTATTATTCCTGTCTGGAGGCTTGAAGAGCTTTTTCTTTAAAATCATATTAAAACCTCTTCCAAGAATGCACTTAGTTGTGGGATAAATCCTTTTTCCACTGAAACATTGTGGGCTCCTTAAATCTGGATAATTGAGACTTTTTCCAATTTATGATTTTTTGTAATTGTGTCATTGATTATAGTTTCCATTCGACTTTCTTTGGTTTCTTTTACCTAGAATTCATAGGTTGGCTCTTTATAAGTTGAGGGAGGTGGGAAATAACAGTATTCTGACAGCCTTAAAAAGCAGCAGCTAGCCAATAAAGGTCAGCCCTTTGGTTTCTGGGTTGAGTCAGATCTTGCATTCTTATTCCAGGGAGCCAGATGGTTTGGGAGAAATGAAAGGTCTTTGTACCTTTTATCAGGTGGACAGTCTTTCTATTCAGGCAACATAACACAAGGGTTTTCCAACTGCCCTCCTCAGCACAGTTCCATCAGTATGGTGGCTAATGAAAATGTCAGTTTTCAGCGTGGTGTGTTTTTGTCCACCCTCCTGCCCCATATTCATAGATATTTTAAGAGAAATCTTAGAGAGACTGTGTCAGATGCCATTTGAAGTTGGAAGTCTTTGCTGACTTAAGAGTCAGCTTCTATCACGTACTTTGTGTTTTCAACACTCACTTATTTAACTCAATTCACAAACCAGCATTATTGAGCATCTTTTACACGCCAGATCCCATGGTTGGCTAGGCTGTAAAGTTGAATAAGACACTATTCCTGTTCTTAAAGATCTAGCAATCTGGTGGTTAGGTAGATGTGTACAACAACCAGCTTGTAAGCCTATGATATACACAGTGCTCTGGGAACAATTTGGGGAAGGCTTCATGGGGGAGGTGACAGACATTTGTATGGAGCTTTGTAGAATCAATAGGAGCTTACCAAATTGGTGGAAAAGTGGCATTGCTGTGTTGTTCTGTCATCAATGGCTTGTGTCATTTTAATGGGTGTGATAGGGCTCTGCCTGCGTATTGATATTTCTTTTCAAAATTTTACTCCACCGTTTTTAAATTTTACAAGTGTTTACAACTGACAAACGTTGGGATTCAATGGGCAGCTTTGCCTCTGTCTTTGTCAGTTTAATGTCTCTTTCTTTCTCTTCACTGCACATGGGGATGCTGTGTTCTTACACATTTTAATTGCTTATCTATTGCAAAATATAGGTAATTTTGAAGAGAAAGTAATGATTTATATGGCAGCGAACATGAGAGATTAAAGGGATATCTAGTCTAACCTCCCCACTTCCACTCCCATGTTCCAGTTGTTAAGGTCACACAGCTAAGTAGGACCGGAGCAGGAAAAATAATGACGATGATGAAGACTGAATATTTTCTGGCAATTTTCACAAACATCCTTGCATTTAATGTTCACAAAGATCTGCTGAGCCTCATTTTGTTATTATACCCTGTTTACCAGTGAGGAGATTAAATTTTAGAAATGTCAAGGTATTTGTTTAAAAGTATTATATTAAGTCTCTAGACTTTCATTCCACTACTTTCTTTATTACCCAATGAAACCTCACTTGTTTTTGTTTGTTTAAATGAATTCTAGTCAAAAATACTTTCCAAACTAGGATTATCTTTTAAAAAAAATTATGATGCACAAATGATGTCTAGCACCAGTGTCTGTTTCCCATATTTCTTATAATCGGTATCACAAGTAATATTTCCTGTCCTCCTCAATGTCACACTGCTTTGTATTATTGTCTAGTTTGTGTTTTTATGATTTGTGTTGTCTGAGCAAAAAGCCTTATGCTTGCTCAAAATCTACTAAATTTCTTTCGCACCCCTCTTTGTGACTTCTCTTAAGTTCACCAAACTGTCAGCTCCTTCCCATGGCAGACTGCCAGATTGCATAGATCATGCCTTTGGCTGTTCTTGTGAGCCACTGCAGCAGAATTTTTGCAAAGATCTTGTAAACAGTGTGTTACAACATCAGCGGCCTCTGCCACTAAAGCCTCTCTCCTCTTCCTTTTAAACTGGCGCCCGGCCCCTTGTTTTATGGGGCAGACCCTTTCACCTGTCTTCCACGTGCATCCAGGCTTTTCTCACGGAGTTGATGGGAGTTGACCCTGAACTTTTCACAGTCAAGGGCACTTCTCCTCTTGCTCCCTAAATCCCTTGTTCCTTTAGTTTCCGTTAGGATCCCTGATGGGAGTGGTGTAACGTTGAACACCAGTCACGTCAGAGTCCTGTCTTCAAATCCTGGCCCTGCCACTTTCTGGTTGGGTCATCTGGGGCAAACTTTTCCAACTTCATCTGCAAAATAGGATCCCATCGCACATTTCTAGCTGGCAGAACTGAGAAGATGGAATTAGATGAGAAAGTAAAATGCCTAGAATAGTGCCAGATACATATGTTTACCCCAAAAAAGTTGATTTCCATTTTTATTATTCCTGTAAATAATTCTTTCATTGGTTGAAGTTTATCTTTGTTGTCATGTTAACCTTTTAGTCATATGTCATAAACTCACCAATGCCTTCTCTCTCTCTTTTATTTTAAAGATTGGCACCTGAGCTAACAACTGTTGCCAATCTTCTTTTTTTTCCTGCTTTTTCTGCCCAAATCCCTCCAGTATATAGTTGCACATATACATCTTTTTAGTTGTGGTCCTTCTAGTTGTGGCATGTGGGACGCCACCTCAACATGGCCTGACGAGGGGTGCCATGTCCGTGGCCAGGATCGGAACTGGTGACACCCTGGGCCACTGAAGTGGAGCGTGCAAACTTCACCACTCAGCCACAGGGCTGGCCCCACCTGCTCTCTTTTGAAACATTCTAAGTCAGTTGTTTTGTTTTTACCTGTACTCCGTATTTCTTGAGCATCTGGATCCAGCTCTCTTTTTAATCATTGTGCTTCATTTTTTTCCTAGGAGGTTTAGTGCCTACACTCTCTGGCATGTTTACATTGGAGCAAATGGTCCCTCTGGGTCATTCCTCTGAAATTTTTAGTCACTTCATAGTCTCACAGTAGTTTGCTAATCCCAAATGCAATCTGATAAACCAGTTCCCAAGACGTCAATTTTAGTTAAGACAGTGGAAAAATTGGTATCTTTCACTTTACAGTGATATGTTCTGGTAGTTCTGTTGGCTCATTTCCCATTTTTTCCCAAGCTCTTAGAAAATGCATTCGTATAAATATTCTTCAATTCTGAATTATTCGTATTAACTTCATAGACTATCATGGATTATTTCCAATCCCATCCCCTTTAGCTGATCCTCTTGCAATTCTGACACTTCTTTTTATACTCAGGAAATTCACCATTTAACAAATATTTATTCATAACAACAACCATAAACAAATGCTAGGATTCAGGGACACAAAGATAAATAAAATATTGTCCATCCTTCAAGGAACTCATGATAGGTAAGTTGTCTCTTCCTTATTTCTTTAAAAGATATTCATATCCTTTTATTTTTATAATCATTAAACTTGGCTTCTTACAGAAATGAGTATATTGTCTTACATCCTTGGAATAATCCTCACCATAGGATTATCCTAAGGCTTATATTAAGGTGAAAAAAATGAGGTTATATGGTCCCCAAAAGAAGTGGTTTGTGGTTTGGGTATAATTTGCTTAATATTTCCCTGTGTCTATGTTGAAAAGACTTCTTGTTTCAAGTTAAAACACTATGGCTATAAATGAGAGTAGACTATTTGTTTCACATTTGGCTGCCATAATTGATATAGATTGTCTATTCCAGAAACATACAGCCAGAAGTGAGTCAACAGCTAAATGGAACAGAAACGAGAAAAAAAGTCTCAAGAAATCTTCTAAGGCAGTAATAGCCCCCATCTGGAATCTTCCCCTCTTCTGCAAGAGATTTTGCAGTTAATTAGAGTGCAGTGGGACCAGAGGGAGCTCTGGTCTGCATGGTACAAGTTGACAGTAACTCCAAGTCTGCCCCACGCTCATCTATTTCCCTTATTGGCCTTTGAGTTAGAACATGGAAGGACCTCATCAAAATATATATGTTTAGTCACAGAATTTTATTGCTGTAAGGATCTTACCAATCATTATACCACAGAGGTTCCCAAGCCTTGTCAAGAGTTGGAACTCCTTTTCAACCTCAACATTTCCTGGATTCCCATTCGGTAGAACTTAAACTTACAGCATCCATAGATTGAGAAGGTGTATGCCAACATGAATTCACAATCATTTACATGAATGTAAACTCTATTAGTCAGAACAGCAGTTACATATATTTGAAATGAATAACTATACTTATATGCGTGAGACTTGTCATTGATTTCATCTGTAGCCTACTAGATGTACACATGGATTTGGAGTCTCCCAGGAGCCTGCATCTTGGAACCATTGATCTAATCTAATCTCTTGTTTCAACAGATGAAGATAAATGTGGTTCATGGATATTAAGTGACTTTCCAAGGACACAACTAGCTGGTGGCAGAGTCCAGTTCATTGACATCTTTTCCACTGTACCACAGCTGTCTTAAACTTTCCTGAAATTATTCATCCAGATCAGCAGAGAGAAATATCATAAATAAGTTAGCTCAGAGGAATCTATAATGTGTGTGCTACACATGGGAGGACATGCTCCTATATTTAATTAAAAAATTACCTTTCAGTTAATCATATTGTGTATAGAATTCTTGCAAAACTTTTCCCACTTGACAACATATCTTGAGGATTGCAAAGGGGTAGAGACCTATGTTAAGTACTTTTCAAGCCATAGAGTAAACTTGGAAAATATTGAATTTCTGGCCACAGATAATAGCCCCCAAAAAAGCTGAGCAGTTTTTTAGAACCTTAAAGATTACGGATTTTTGACAATGCACAGGCGCAAAAGTCAGCAAGAATGGACATCCTCAACTTCTGCCAAGTCAGGAGAAGCAGTCTGGCTGCCGAGTTGAGAAAGGAAATGAGAAAAATCACCAGCCAAATAATACATTATAATATTGGCAGACATAGGAGGAGGAGTGTGTCAAAGATATTAAAAAGCCATTCAGCGTTAGAATGACTCGATTCAGCTGGGGAAAGATGAAAAGAACAATTGGTATTTCTTGGATATTTTTTAATGTTTAGATACAGGAGGGTGTCTCAAGAGTAGCCAGGTCTGCAGCTGAAGGTTTGTCTGAGTGATTGATATGAGGTGAAAGATGCTGACCTGAATGCTGTTGAAATCTCTGCTCTCCCTGGATAACCCACGTCTGCCAGTACTGCATTGGCTTAGAAAACTGCAAGCGTTCAACAGGTCAGCTTTAGGCCTGTCTTGATCTGAATGACCCTGGGGAGTCTAGGTTTATTCTGATTCCCATGAAAATTTGGGTCATTTTGGGGGAAATCTTGCATGGTCCAATCATATCTTTTGTGTGGATATAGTAATAATGAAGTTTCTTCAGTTAGTTCCAACAGTGTCTTAAGAATCAAGGCTGTTTAGATGTTATGTGTGTCTATTTTCCATAGATAGTGGAACTATCTTATGAATAAAGTTTGCCATCTTCATCTCAACCAAATGATTTGACACTACGAGTTTCATAGGCAATCTTAGAGAGTATAGAGTCAAATATGAGCAAATCCATTCCCACTACTGGAAGATGTAACTCACCCTCTGTTGTCTTTGGGGACAGCATATGTGAGTCTTAGAGAAGCAAAGAGTAGATATAATTGGTCTTGACAGAAAAGCTGTACAAACAGATCACAATTAATTATGTAGCCCCTGCAGTTGAATACAGTAAAACTGGGGTCCAGGGAATGTTGCTTTGCATCATGTTCCTCTATCCTCTCGTTCCCAAAACTCTTAGGCATGGTAGGGAGGGAACAAATGGTGTTTGCCATGGAGCAGAAATCCTTTCTCTTCCCATTAACTCTCCCGTTAGAGCTGTAGTGCTGGCAGCGGTCCTGAGAAGGGCTCTGAAAAGTGGGCTGGTTAGCAGGAGCATTTTCACTGCAGGAAGATTCGGTTGCCTTGGTGAAGTCCCCACGCATCTGAAGAGTGGCTCATCTGTTTCCGGCTGAGGATCACTTGTGCTCACCCGGGCGTGGCCCCCACGAGAAACCTGGGAGTCTGGCAAGCTGGTGCCAGCTGAACTGTGAACCTTTTAAGAAAAAGCAAATAAAACAGACAATTTTATTCGCTACAATTCCAGTAGGACTAATTCTTGGAGAAAAAGCAGTCTGAGAAGACTTTTCAGAGTCAGGGGCCTGGGGCAGGCATGGTAAGTTGAGAAGGAGGAGGGCAAAGGGAGAGTGGAACCAAGCAGTGAGGGGACTGGCGAAAGTGGGTAAGAGAGTCCTAGCAGTTGCCTTGGTGGAAAGAGTTGTCTAAAGAAGATTGTAAGAATGTGTAGAACCTCTCATCCGGCTCCTTTAAGAAAATCACAATAAATATCTATGTTCTGCTCTTTTCAGTGTGGCAGCCAGTAGCCATGTGTGGCTATTGCCTGGTCCGAATTGAGATGTGCAGTATGTGTAATATGCACACTGGATTCTAAAGACTTAGTATGAAAAAGAGAAGGCAAAATATTTCATTGATAATTTTTTTACATTGAATACTCATTGAAATTGATAACATTTTTAATCTATTGGGTTAGATAAAGTATATCACTAAGATTAATTTTACCTGTTTGTTTTTACTTTTTAAAAAATGCAGCTACTAGAAAATTTAAATGATCTATGTGGCTCACATTGTATTTCTATTGGACGGCACTGACCTACCTCATTCTTCAAAGCTTTTGAAGTTAGATTTGTGTTTATTTCGGACGGGTGTTGGTGTTACTGCAGGGTTGTACAAGCAAACACTCACATCCATGTCTATTGATGGCCAAAATGGAAAGGAGGGCCAGACTTGATATATGTCAGGCTCCAAAAGGAGCTTTGTCAGTTGTCTCAGGTAAGTCTGTGTGTGTGCTGAGACCTACAGACATTTAGAAAGATTCAGAATCCGAGAAACATCCAGGAGAAATGGTGCCTTATTTAAATATATCAAAAGGAGACCAAGTTTTCCTACAATATTGGAACTGATGTTCACAGAGAAAACTCACAGGCAAGGATCAGAAACAAAGGCGATGCTCGAGTAAGGATCAGAGAGAGGACGGAGTCTTCTCTGTGAGTGTAACTACGTGTCATGCAGTAAGAATGCCTGAGAGGGAGGAGAAAGAGGAAAAGAAGAAAAAAAGGAGGAGAAGGAAGGAAATAGACAGAACTGAATTGAGAAAAATAGCCAGGTAAGACTAGACATGGTTCACGTGGTTTCTAATAGATCTTGTGAGTCTGAAACAGCTTGAGAAATGATTTCTCTATGGAACAGAAATCCTCTGTAAAATCACCACAAGCTAAAGAAAAGCACAGATTTCCTAAATGTTCAGGAGTAGCAGGCTTGAGTTTACTTATCTGAGAAATGACTTTGAGGCTGCCCTAATTCTTTGTTAAGACAAGACTGGGGAGGAAGGAGCATTTGCACAAGTGATGAGGAAGAATGGCTCCCGGGGTCCTCAAGGTCTGTAATGCTTCCCATGGATGCTTTCCCTCTTCTCTATAGAAGGTCAGGGTGGCCTGTTTGAGGGAGTCTCTGGCTACCTCCCTGGCATGGTCTTATTAGGTAGCATTGTACATAACTCAATTATCCAGAGCACAGTTGGGCCCTTCAAGCAACCGGAATAGCATCTTTCACTTAACTTTATGGCAAGAAAAGACTCATTCCAAAGAGTGAGTAGAAACACGTAAAACCTTTCAAGAGAGTTCAGCCTGTGTTCTGGGTCTGAACAAATTCAGTCCGATTTCTTATCCCGTAACTCCTGTGTCTATGGAACTGGGCAATGAAAATGAATGTTCTAAATAATGATCTGAGGTGCTGTAAAGGTCTGAAGTGCCTCACAAATCATCAAAGAAAGATTAAATTATGTCCCATACTTATCAAAGCCGAAAAGGGAACTAATAATGTATTTTACAAACAGTTGCTCCAGGAGCTGAAACTGAAAACATGACAGTGTTTAACCCCAATTTAATTAGAAAAATTCACAAGAAGGCCCCACTCCTAAAGCTTTCCAGTTAACTGAGGGTTCTTTTGCATATTGAGAATAGGTATGAAAAGCTGTTATGTATTAGGTTTTCTTTGAGGCAGACCTCCTGAATGGAATCAGCATTTTAACCACATCTCCAGGGGATTCCTAGGCACACTGAAGTGGAGAAGCCCTGGCCTGGGGGACTGATCTATCTGTTAGAGATGGAGGCGCCCCCTTTCCATGAACAGGCCCTCCAGGGACCACAGCTAATGCTTATTTTATGTTCTAGGCACTCTGCTAAGAACCTTACATGACTTATCTCACTTTAGTCCTTCAACAGTCCTATGGAGGCCGTATAAAAATTACTCCCAATTCACAGATAAGGAAACTGAGATACAAAACCATTAAGCAATTTGCCCAAACTCATGCACACAAAGTTGTTGAACCAGGGTTCACATTTGGTTGCCACTTCTTAGTACAGGACACTATTCAGTCTTTCTTACTCAGGCTTTGGGTCATCTACAAGGCGGGCAGATGTGGAGTTCTGTGGGTCCTACCCCTGTGTTTTTTCTTTATCCTTTCCAGAAACCCTGGAATTTCCTGCTTGAAATTCCCACAGAATCTAGGTGGTGGAATGACTTCCAAAAGTTAATGGCATAATCCTGGGCGCAGTGCAGCCTTTCTGACATTCCATATTATATTTTATAATAAAAAAATACCAAAAAGCAAAACTGAGACCGTCATATTTATCTGAAATCCCATCTTTCAGACATAATACATGTTAAGTTTGGAGGTTTACTCTTAAATGACTCAAAATAGCTCAACTAAAGGGGACTTATTTAAAAGTAGGGAGAGGAGGCAAACAGTGACACCCCTCCTTCCACCCATGAAAGTCTCACGAAGCACATATTCTCTCTTTCTTGTTTGCTATTCCTCTCCTTTCTGCAGACAAGCCTCTCTCTGCTTACTCTTACTCTTCCACTTGCAGGTGAATGAAAATGGCCACTCCAGCCCCGATTCAACAATAGCCTTCAGTTCACATATCAACAATTGTGTGAGTATGGTCTTTGTGTCTCTTATTTTCGATTCTCCAGTCAGAGAATTCTAGGCTATTAATTGGTTCCTCAGGTTAATCAGCCAAAGTTAAGTTTTTATTAAAATGGGGCCAAGAAGGTCATCCCTTTGGGTAGGGATTGTGGGTGGGGGTAACTCCAAATATGGATTGTGGACTGGGCAACCACCCTTAAATGTGTCTATTACCATTTTGTGCATGTGTGTGTGAGGAAGATTGGCCCTGAGCTAACCTCCATGCCAAACTCCCTCTATTTTGTGTATGGGATGCCACCACAGCATGGCTTGATAAGTGGTGTATATGTCCTTGCCTGGGATCCGAACCTGCGAACCCCAAACTACCAAAACAGAGCACACAAACTTCACTATGCCACCGGGCTAGCCCCTACTACCATTTTTTAATATAAATATGAGGTCATACCTCTTTTATCTATTTTTTGCCCTTCGTATTTTGCCAACATACTTCCCTGTCTATAGATATTACGGTCCCTCGTTACTTTGAGTGATAGTGTAATATCCATTGTTTGCTCTGTCTCAGTTGGCTCAACCGTTTGCTACTGCTGGCTATTCTTTCCTCCAGGTATTTGCCAGTATGGTCAATGCTGCTACAGCAACCTTGTCATAAATCTTTGTGTCCAGTTTAAATTATTTTTTTAGGATAAATTCTTAAAAAGCAAAATAGCTAGGTTAAGAAGTATGAACATTTTTAAAGCTCTAGAAATACGTACTATATTACCTTCCAGAAAAGCTTCACCAGTTCCTACTCCTACGAGCAGTGAAGTGAGTCTTCCTCCACCCTCACCAGCACTGGCGATTATTCTTTTTTGTCTTTGCCAATTTGATAGGCAAATACTGAGCTCATCGTTCCTTTAATCTGTGTTCTTACTGAGGGAGAACAATTTTTCATACATTCATGGGTTTTTTTGTATTTCTTATTTTGCACCACACTTCTTTTTAAAAGCTCAACTGTATTTTACACAGGAAGAAGATTTCAGCAGTTGTCATTGGTTGATCTGCTTGGTCCTTACTCCAGTTGCAACTTGTGGCCTCCTTTATTTGATTACCTCCCCTAAAGATAAACCGACATTAATGTTTCTCCCTTAGGATAATATTATTTGACTCTTAAAACAATATGTAAAGCTAGCCTTTAGTTTGTTACACATCATTGTCCCATCAACCCTTTACGGGGATGTCCTAAGGGAGGTGAATTGATCTTCCAAGCTATGTGATGTGCCTGAGACCAGAATACCCAGGTAGGTTGGAATGGTGGGACTGGGGTGAAGGAAGAATGTAAGAGACGTCAAGTTTGTCTACTCCTAAAGTAGTTGCAGTTCTTAAAAGAAGAGAGATTTTCTTACCACTGTGATCTCTAAGGAGGGCGAGAGAAATCTGTATGGGAAGTTGACTCTTTGTCTTCATTTCTTGTTTTATATCTAGCATTGAAAGGAAGGACCCGTATCTCCATTAAAGTTGAAGAGAGGGTAATATTGACTCTCCTCACAATTACTTCCTGAGACTTAGATATGATTCAGGATAGAACACTCCCGAAATATTAGATTGAGGAGAGAGTAAGCTCATTGAGAATCATAGGCCAAGACATTTGGAGGAATGCAGGATGGTGGAGCTTGGCTGCACAGCTCAGAGATGTCCTTCTGTCTAGGCAGTAGCCTCTGTGGTTTGGTTCAACAGGGTTTCTTAAGCTTCCCTCATGATAAACATCACTTGATGCATTTGCTACAAATACACATTCCCAGGCTCCTTCTGAGACCCACTGATTCGGACTCTTCAGGCAAGGTCTGATGATTCTACTATCAGGGAAGTTTGGAAAACACCAATTTTAAAAGGTCTGTGGGAAGGCCTCTTGTAGGAGACAGCTTTTAGGCTATCCAGCCAGCCTATAAGATACCCACCAATACAACTCCTTACCTGTAGGTAGGACCCTAGCATTCATGTTTGAGCTATGTCACCCTCATGTCCCTGGCCATGAAGGGAGCCAGGTTGTACCAGACAGATTATCTGTTGGCAAATTTAAAAAATCACCGACACTTTACTGGAACCTTTATGTTGAAGATCAATTGAAGTTAATGCATCTTCTATTTTAAAAATGCAAATTCTTCTGAAAAGAGTGAGGCTATCAAACACTCATAATTGAATACAAATTACTTTAACTGGATTGCTGCAAAGTGAGAGAATAGGAGTATTATTTGTAGGGCAAAGGGTGAGGAGTGGGCAAAGAAGGTGACGTGGGGATGGACAGACTAGACGAAGAGTCACAGTAATGGTTTTACAGACCCACAGGAGAGCATGAAGACTGGACATGGTCATTTCTATCTGGTTTTTACAGGTTTTCTCTTTGCGATAGTGAGAGTGCAAGTATTTCCAACTTAGGTGGATCCGTCCACTATTTGTGACACAGTGTGGATGTCAGATGGCATTTAGGACCTGTCAGGTTCAGTTTTTGTTGCTGTGAAAAATAGCTGGTTAAGAGTTTTGAATTGAAGCCTAAAAACGTGAATGGGCTATTTGAAGATACCTCAATGTTTTCAATAGAGTTGACTCAGCTACATTCGACTACAGATCTTCGTCAACTTGTGGTGAGGTTACATCCTGATAAACCCATTGTAAACTGACAATATCATAAGTTGAAAATGCATTTAATACACCTAACCTACCGAACAACATAGGTTAGCCTAGCCTACCTTAAACGTGCTCAGAATACTTAACGTTAGCCTATAGTTGGGCAAAATCATCTAACACAAAGCCTATTTTATAATAGTGTTGAATGTCTCATGGAATGTATGGAATACTGTACTGAAAGTGAGAAACAGAATACTTATATGGGTATACCAACAGCTGTAAGTGTATTGGTTGTTTACCCTTGTGATCTCGTGGCTGACTGGGGGCTATATAGCTCACTGGGCTGCCCATGAGAAAGTATCCTACTGTATATTGCTAGCCCAGGAAAAGGTCAAAATCCAAAATTCAAAGTACAGTTTCTACTGAATGCATATTGCTTTCGCATCATTGTGAAGTCGAAAATTTATAAATCGAACCATCAGAAGTCAAGAACCATCTGTAGTCAACTCATTGCACAATTAATTATGTTTAGCTCTTGCTCATCACACAGGCAAGACAAATTCTTCCTCAGCAGAGATTTGACAATGGGTCCCTAACTCTTAAGGCTGGGTGCATGTATCTCTTCTGGGTTTCTTGGTCCATTTTTCCCTCTTGTTCATATTTAAAAGGCTTATGGACTCCCTCAGAAAGTTGTCTCGTGTTCCATTATGATCTCAATTTCTAGACTTTCCTATGGAGTCAGTAAGTTGTTAAAAGCTCACCTTTTGCTTCCTGAAGTTTCTCTTTTGTTTTCTGAATGTTTAGTCCTCTTGGAATTTCACTCTAAGGTTCCCAGAAAGCCAAAAGTGTGAACTTACTCTAGGCAGTTTGACGTAATTAAAATTTATCTGATGGTCTCGGTGATACATTTGGAAAAAGAGTATCTGAGGACTGGTCCTGGAAGTCCAATCCTAGATCCCTGGCTGAGTTCACAGAAAAACACATTACAAGGAGGACACATCTGATCTCTTGGAGCCAAAAAGCCCCTGAGGCTGTATTCTGCCCGAGAATGGCTGGCTGTGGCCCTCTGGTGCTGGTTCTTCACCTGTGGGCTGGGAAGGCAGATGGGAGTGAAGCTTAAAAAATCTGTGCTTTCTTAGTACCTTCTTAACGTGGGGTATAACATAATGCGGCAAGTTGCATGTATAATAAATTCCTTTTTATTAATTCACGTAGGTTTTGGGGTACTTTGCAAATATGAACTCCCAACTCTCACTACATCTGTGCATTATTTCTCTCCTTTATGACTGGGCAAACAGCAGCACAAAGAGATGCAAGGACTTGTCCGAGATCACCAAGTTAGTGAAATCGGTAGAGCTAAGAGAGTGATTGTCCCTTACTGCACCCCTTGCCCAGCCAGTCCACCCTCACACCTTGTCTTCCATCACAGCTGCCATTCACAGCTCCCTAGGAATAGGGAAATTCGAATGCAGATGAAGGAAAAAGAAATTGTTTCAGTCCAGTGTCCTCTTAACATTAATCCAAACCTGTGCTGTTGGGTTAGCAGCACCCATGTGATTTAATATAATCATGATTAAACTAATTCTAAAGAAAACGTATATGTACAGTACACTAAAACTAATGCATACTTGGGGAGGAAACTGCAGACTCAAGTGAAATATACATTTATTTCAACCACATGAACCGTAGTGGTTGCTACTTGTTTCTTTCTGTTCACTCAGGGATTAAATTGAGTTTAAGCAGCCCGGAACAGTTTGATGACTCCTGCTTTCAGCCATGGAAGCTGCCAGGTGTCCTGCCTCTAGAATCTGACACCCTATCGGCGAGGATAACAATCCACACTGAGATCCTTTGGCTCTTTTTAGGCCCATCTACAGACTGATTTATGGTAGCAGTGGCAGTGACATGAGAAATAAATCTGAATGATGCAGAGCTGAGAGCATGAGCTTTGGAGACAAATGGTCTTAGGTTTGAATTCCGCCATTTAGTGATGGTGTGATTGGGAGCTCCCTGAGGGTTATCTTTCAGGTGAGGATTAAACAGCATATGATGGGTGGGTAATAATCATAGTAGTAAGAATTACAATTATTAAAGCAGCTACCATTAAATGAGTGCTTACTACACACCAACCACTGTGCTAAGTGATCTCACTTAATCTTTACAATAACAGTAGGAGATGATTACTGCTAATAAATGTATACTTAGTGTCAGTTGCTTTCTTTCTTGGCTAGGTGCTGGTTACATGCAGACGTTGTACTAGGTGCTGGTGATTCAAGGTCAGATAGGTCATGATCCCTTCTCTCAAGGAGTTCTCGTTTTCCTGGGGAGGTGGGGAAGAAGACAAAGGAAATACAACATGACAAGGGCTATCTGGGGTATGATGGGAGCAAATAGGGAGGAGAATATAAAACACCCTGGGAGTCAGGGAAGGCTGAGTCCTCCAGACTGTGCGATCAGAGAGGTTGCTGAACTGCTAGGGGTCATGGGCTTCTGAGTTCAAGTCCAGTGCCCTCTACTGATCCCTGTTTCCTGGATGGGCATTGTCACCAAGACAGGGCTCTGGAAAGCTTCTTCCCAAGGAAAGGATTACTTAAGAAAAAAAAGCAAACCCCAAACATGTTTTATCGTGAAAATTTTCAAATTCACAAAAATAGAGAGACTAGAAGAGACCCCTTGGCCCATCCTCAGATTCAACAATTGTCAACATTTTCCCGCATCAGCTATGTGAAAGGACACTTTTAATGGAAGTGATTCTGTAGCAGGCTCTGCTGTTGATTCCAAAGAGACTGAATAGATCCCACGTCCATCTCCCCTTGTCCTATATCCAAAGGGTGAATCCTCTCCCTTCCTTCCATTGTGAAGACATTGCTTGATTCTAACAGAGGAGCGAGTGTGGAGTCTGTGATCCAAGAGTAAAACGGCCCCCACGTATGCTGGAGTAGCATCTCTTTTTAAATTAAAGAAAGCCTTATTATTGCTGTAATCAGATTTGCATTCTGCATATAAGTCTTCCTTCCTTTCTTTTTTTTTTTCACATCAATCATAATGCCCGCTTTGGTGAACAATGCCTTAATCATCATGTGGTCTGCATAGCATGGACATCTTTAACAAATGGATTGGACACAATGGGCATCTTAGTTAAGATGCTGGACCTCATCAGGTAACTGTTGTCACCCGCATCTATTACTTGGCAATCATCTGGTGGAAGATAGATCTGATTGTGAAAATAGGTTTGGACTTTGTCTTTTTTTTTTCCCCCTTTTCTTCTGTCAGCCGTGGTCCCAGGAAAGGAGTCTGTGTCAGGCAGCATGCCCTGAGTGGCGATTTTGAAGTCTAAGCATTTTGAGTGCTTAGGCTACTAACCCATGGAATTTATTTCATGGTGCATTTTTTTTTTTTATTACAAAAGGATTGATTGAGCTTATGAAACAAGAGTAAGTCATTTCTGGAAGGGAAATCCTTTTTAGCATTCAGTAAAGAGACCTACTGAAGTTTGCCAAAGTTAGAATAGGGCTGCTCTTGTTAAGGAGGAGGTGATGGGGCACAGGAGAAAGCATTTTGGATTGTCACACGGAGTCTCAGATTCAAGGCCCAGCCTCTGCTTTTGACGAGCCGGGTATTTGGCAAGGCACGCACACCTCTGAGTCTCAGCTACCTTGCTTATAAAATATGCAAGATCCTTTTAGTCTCTGACATTTTGTGATTATTTAAGAGGGTTTGATGCAGTGTGGTGGTTAAAAGCAGGGTCTTTTGGAATCAGGTAAAGGATTTCAGGGTTTCAGGCCTATGTCAGCGGCTTGTTAGCTGTGTGATCTTGAAAAACTCAACCTTTCTGGTCTCCATTTTTGTCATCCGTAAGACGGGTACAATAGTTACAGCTACAGCCCACACTTCCTAGAAGATTAAATGTACTGTGTTTAGTATAGTATCTGGTGCATTTAAACTCTCAATAAACGGGAGCTATTATTATGTGTCCTTGTTGTCCTTTATACCATATTCTACCTAAATAACCAGAGATCCAGGAAGAAAAACAAAGCCCTCAACAAAATTTTACAGAAACACGAAGCAAAATCCTTCTTCCCAGTTCGCACTATTTTCACAAACATGTTGCTCTGATACAGTGCTGGCGTACGGGGAGAAAAGACATGCTATTAGCTCGTGGCCAGGTCTGTGCTCCATTCCTAATTTCATTCATTTAAACAACCGACCAGCATTCACTGAATGCCTTCTAGGTTCTTGACATTCTACTGGCCTCCAGGTTGAAACGGCAAATGTGACATCTTTTTTGCTATTACGGGGCTTACAGAAGAGAGGGCGCAAGTAGACTGAACCAATGTTGTCACATTACCTTGTTCACAGGTCTTTCTTTCCTCGTGCTTTATGGAAAGCCTTTCAGATTTGGAACTCAGAGGCTGGTGCCAGTTTTTAAGGTTGCCCTAAAGTCGAATTTCTCTGGGAGCTTCTTTGGTTCAGATGTGTCACTGCTTCTGTTCTCAGTCCACACAACCTCAGATTTTCCTTAAAAAGAGCTTATTTGGAAGAATATTTGTTTTGTTTTTTCTTTTGAGGAAGATTAGCCCTGAGCTAACTGCTGCCAATCCTCCTCTTTTCGCTAAGGAAGCCTGGCCCTGAGCTCACATCCATACCCATCTTCCTCTACTTTATATGTGGGACGCCTACCACAGCATGGCGTGCCAAGTGGTGCCATGTCTGCACCCAGGATCCGAACCGGCAAACCCTGGGCCGCCGAAGTGGAAAGTGCGCACTTAACCGCTGCGCCACTGGGCCGGCCCCAAGGAAGAATATTTGAAACAAACTGGGAAAACGTGTGGCTGTTTGTACAGTTATTTGAAACAAGCAAGCAGCAAACAAAACAAGAAGAAGGAGTAGCTTTGTTCCACTTTAAAAAATAGTAAACTTAGTTAACTTACCCTGAGTCCTCACTACGTGCCAGGCAGTGCTCTAAGTTCTGTGTGTGTGATAATTCATTAATCCTCATAACAGCCCTGTTAAGCAGCTTCTATAATAATGCCTGTTTGGCTGGTGAGAAAACCAAGGGACAGATAGGTTGAGTAATTTGCTGGTCAGACAACTAGCACATGGCTGAATTGAGATTTAATCTCTTGCAGTCTGACCCCAGAACCAGGCTCGTAACCAGTAGCTTCTGGATGGCACAGGATACTCATAATAATTTTCTATTGTCTTATTAAATATTGAACTCAAGAAAATTAAATCACTGCAGATTGCAAATATGATTCAAACTTTTATTAAATGTCAGAATATCGAATATTTGGATGCATTTTACTTCTGGGCAATTATCCAGGTTTGAAGCATATATTTAAGAATTTGCTGCTGTGATTATTGTATTGACTTATAGTCAAATCAGATCAGATTACACAGTGAGGAAAATTAAGTTACCGACACGCTTTTGGGCGGACGCCTTTGGATCTTGGTGTGCGAGTTCAGACGTTCTGCCATGGGCCTTCTCCCAGCCTGGGTATTTCCTTTGAACTACCTGCTCCATTGAAAGAGTTGTCATTTAACTTGGAACTTGTGAGTTCTGAAAAGGAAATTTATTCTTTTTCCTTTGGCAAAGTACACGCCCAGCATAAGTAAATGCTCTTGGTTTGTGAGTAAATTTATAGCTACGATCATAACCATTTTCTGTTTCGTTTGGAAAATCTAAAATTGCTAACGACTCCACCATTTTTCCTTCCTAAAAGTTCTCCCAAACGTAATTCTTTTGTGGAAATATAAGATCATTTTCTTTCTGTCTTACTATACTGTACATAGTCATCCTTTAAGACTGCATCTCCACATCCCTTGCTTCTTGAACTCATCTTTCTTCTTCTGACTTTGTCCTCCCTAACCCCTTAAAGCTGGATTTAAAATGGTCCCATTTCCAACCTCATACCTACCTCAGTCCAAAATCAATCCTGGTAGACAGTGTATTAGCCTTATCTTTGGAATTAGTTTACATTCCCAGCCTGGGTGTCCAGCAACATGGCCACAAATGCTGGCCTCCAGTGTTGGCCCTGAGCCCTTCCTCATTGCCCGATACTGACCTGCAACCTCCTGCCTGACATCCCAGCTGACCCTGCCTTAAGAATCTCTTGCTACTGTGTTCGTCCCTTTGGGCTGAAGCTCCACGGATCCACAAACTCTGAACTTCGCCTGACCTCACTATGCCCTTTAATAATTGTGCCTTGA